ATTCATCCAAAAATTTTTTTTTAATTTTTTGGTGGCTTTTTTTTTTTTTTTTTTTTTTTTACAAAACAGTTTTATTTCAGTCAGATTGGATGGACAGCATCAATGAACATCTCTGTCTTTATATATATATATATATATATATATATATATATATATATATATATAAATATAAACTTGATCTAAGTCCAGACTTTGACTGGTTCCATCTAACACATGCATATGGTCTGATCTAAACCTTTTAGGTTTATGCGTTGGGTTGTGTCCTTACTGGAGGACAAATCTCTGTTTGCCTGAAGTATTTTTCTCCAGAATTACTTTGTGTTTGACATTTGCAGACAAGTTATTGACCAGTCACCGTTGCAAAATATCACCAACTGTCAAAGCTGTTAGGCAATTCACTGCTTCTTCAATTTCTGCTCCCAACTTCGGCGACGGTACAGATTTAACAATTGAGGCAGATGTCGACTTTTAACACGGGCAGGTTTCTGAATTTGAGTGGAAGAATTTGAGTCTGAATTTGGTCTCACCAAATGGCAGGTTTCATTTGGGTACTGAACTGGTAATAAAATACATGCAAAGTATTACAGCTCAACTGTCGACCGTTATCGTTCCAGTCGAGGTAAATGAGTCAGCGGTGTGAAGATGTAGTAATGTAATTGTGTGTGTGCTGTACTTTTAAGCAAGGCAGATAAACTGATTCAGTAGATTGATAAAGCGTGAACTTGCTTCTGTGTGCTGTTACAGATGTGTTGCTGGTAGAAACATGGAGAAACCAAAATCCTCAGACAGAGCAGAGCTGGAAGAGACAACAGGCCTGGTGGAGGTAACCATCAACACTTTTATCCTGAAAATCCTTGCATGTCAGGATGAGTTTCTGCTGATGTTGGTCCTAAATTATCAGCACTCGCATGCTTTTTAAATCGCTCTTTGTATTTTATTTAATTTAATTTTTTTTATTAAGGATGGTGATTTGCCTCAAGGTGCCGAAGGTGGAAAGGTGGATCCTCGAACACCGAGGAAGAGCAGCTCCTCCCGCTCTTCCCGTAAGAGTTTCCGTCTGGACTACCGACTGGAGGTAACGACCCTCCT